CATATCTTCAATTTCTTGATGCAAAAATTATTAATTATTTGAGTACATCTGTATACTGTTTGTGCTATTGTATGCATTTTTTTCTAAGATTATAGAATGTTTGATAATAGCAATTCATCCTGTATCTGTTTGGCTTCCAGTACACAAATCACTATTATCTTCAAGAATTTGCTGAAAAGTATTCTGCTGATGAGTATTTAATGGTTCAACTTATAGCTTAAGTTTATCTTATTCTTCCTTAGGCAGGTCAACTAAATATACATTTGGACAGTATTATTATGAGATATTGATGAGATACTAATGAGACACTAATAGGACATAAATGGGACAATTAGGACATTTGAGACATAGTGTGAGATAAGTTGATACATATAGCTAGGACAACAAATCTCTGGGATATCAAAATGTATATTACTATGCTTAAGTATTTATTTTTGTGTATTCTTTTATGAATTTCTTCTAAGATTCTGTCTACAAATTTAGTATAAGTAAGAGTTGTTTTTCCTTGTTTTATCATATTTGTATATTCTTCAAAACAAAATGGCCACCATTTTTCTTGCTTTTCTAGTTTAGTTTATTCAAAGATCTAGCCTAATGCAATTCTAGTAATATATACATCGTAATTATAGAAGTTATCATTAAAAAAATATTCTATACATTTAGCCTATTTTTTTTCTATATTTTCCTTAATACTGTTTAAAGTGATATTTTACTAGACTCTACCTTTTCACCTAATACTTGCCATATTTTATATATTTCTTTTTGTGAATTTATTCTTTGTGACATTATAATATCTTGGTGATCATACATAATATTAATTATATACTTTAGTTGGAAATTATTTTCAACTTCACTTAAGAATATATTATATTTATCTAGATCATCTTCTTCATATTCATCTAAAACTTGATCTAAGTTTTCTCTTTCGTTTACCATTTCTTTTACAAAAAGAATATTAAAAGTAGCTCTTTTAATAATGTATGAGATAAAGGCTATTTGTATACTAAAATCAAGATTCATTTTAGTTTTTTTATACTAATCTACTTCTAATAACAATATATCCTGTGAAGATTCAATTACTTAAGTTTTATTGAGATTGATACATGTTTTATAATTATTCTTACTTCAGTAATTTGTCTTAAAGCTTTTACATGATTCTCATTTGCTATAGTTACGATCAATTTAGAAGGTTTATTAATATTAAGTTCTAACTTTTTAGCTAACTTGTTAATAATAATATTGACAGTTGCTTTTATATTGATTATAGCTTCAATAGGATTATTTTTAATCCTGATATATACTTTATAAGAAGTTATTTTCTTTTTATATTCATTATCTAAGAATTTCAAAGAATTAATACTAGGTGTCAATACAAGATAATATTTTAAAGCATTTGCTAAATTTCTTTTTTGAGCTGGTATTTGTAATTATTGTCCTAAAGTCGCAGAAGATTGTTTTAAAAGAATATCATCAGCTATATTGTATAGTATAAGATTATCAATTATTGAAGGATTTTACACTTTTTTAACTAGTTTTTATTTAGAGGCAAATTTTACTTCCATTTCAATGGGATTAATAGTGTGAGTCCTAAGATTTATTTCTTTATTTAACTCAGAGGTTCTAGTTATTTCTCTTTGTCATGCTCTTGCATTCTTTCTGTCAATAGTATATTGTTGAGATCTTTTTTCTGTTTATACTTCAGATATTTCTTCTTCTCCTTCATCATCAGTAAAAATTTCAATTAGATTAGTATCTCTTTATTTCAATTTAAAAGGTCTTCTGATAAATATTCCCTAGAATAATGGCCTTTTTTCTTACATCACTAGCAAACTACTTGACTTTTGTTAAAAGGTTTCTTATCATTATTATTTCTTGTGACATTTGTATTTTTGAATGAAATATTCATAGGTCTTGGAGTTTTATTTTGTGCTACTAATATACATATTAACAATATTTATATAGTTGAGAGAGAGTTGTTCTATTTGTATAGTCAAAGCCTCAATTACATTATTATTCATAACTTGTGAGAATTCCTTTATATAGTATGTTTTAGCTTTTGTTATTCTAGCTTTATTAATAGCTGTTCTTAAATTATCAGGATCTGCCATCACAATTCTTACTGTAATGTTAGGTTTTAATCTATTTAAGAATAATCTAATTTCATAGTTATCTGTCAAATGGTCACCTGGGTCAACTAATTTTTTAAGATTATTAAATCTAGCACTGTATGTATCTATGCTTTCATTTGTCATTTGCTTGATATTAGATAACTCATAGTGCTATTTATTTTTTTTCTAGCTGTAGTAAAGCGAGCTCTGAATATATAGATAAAGCTTGTATTAGATTATCCTTACATATTCTAATAGCGAACAGTTGCTGCTATATTATCATACCATAATGCTGCTAGTTCTCTTAAATATCTTGAATAATACTTCATTTTCTTTCAGTTGTCTAATTATTTGCCATTGCAGCTGTTTTAAAGTATTTAAGCCATTCTTCTGGGTCTTCACTATCATTTTCCCAAATGATTGTACTGGTATAATATTAGTTTCTCTTGAGAATACTTATGGTTGAGCATCTCTAATTTCCTTAACAATTCCTTTAAATGAGTCACTCATTTGTTTGATAATTGCTGTAATACTATTATTATTTAAGGTTTCATTGTCTTTAAATTCATAGTCTTCATTATCATCTTTCTATTCATTCTGAAGACTACTATAATGTTTTTGATTAGGTTGTTTTAATCCGCTTTGTTAGTTATTATTTTTATTTTTATCTTCTCCTGTCATAATATCAATTGGTGTCAGAGTTGGGCCTGATTACTAAAGATGCTATTGAATCAAATTTAGTTTCAACTGATTCTTTAAAGAAGTTTGATTCTTTTGTCACTTTAATTACTCTTGACGTTATAAATTCTGAATTTGGTCTAAGTACTTTAGGGTTGATAAAGGTTAAGCTATATAATAATTTTTCAACTCTAATTTGCAGTAGTTACGATATGCTGCTGTAGTAGTATCAAGTTGTAGTTGTTCAAAAAAGATTAAAGTGACAAGATTTTCTGATAGTTGATCAAATAATGATATAGTTTTTCTAGTAAATATAATTGCTCCAAACTCTACGCTAATCTAATTCTAAAATTTCTAAAATTCTTAGGGATATTTTCTGATATTAGGTGACAACTTAAACAGGTATAATCAGTTGATAAAGTTATTTGTCCTCTGTTATGTTGTTCGATGTGTGCTTCTTGAAGTTTGTAATATAAGTTCAAATTCATTTACAATTAAACTTTCAAAAGTCTTTCTTCTAGCAGGAATCACCAAACTGTTAGATCTGGGATTGTCTCGAACCAAGCTAACAAAATTTAATAACACAATTATCTCAAAGGCCTTTCCTAAGAGAAATTAACGATTAACAAACAAAACAATTTATTATCACAATTCACTTGTGTAGTAGGTTATCACGATCAATTCTATGATAAAGACAAAGGTTGAAAGTGTAAAATAGTAACTTTATTAAACTGTAAAGTTATAAGTCAAGTCCCAAGACTTATTCAGAAAACTATCTGATCGAATTCTCTTTTTAACTCTGTTAACTCAAGGTCAACTTACAGGTCTATTTATATAAAATTGTTAACTATTACTAAACTACACTTTTTGATAAGTACACTACCTAAAAATAAGTTTGCACGGTTTTAAAAAAAATAGTAAATAAATTTGTGCAGTTTGAAAAAATAGTTTATTATCGTTTTTTTTAACAAAATATTAGTATCTAGTTGGCCAACCATTATTAGCAATACATGCTTCTATTCTTTGAGACATACTATCAATTAATTTTAGGTAAGTTTCTTGCAGAATTTTTT